CCAAAGCTGAGCGTGCCGGATTATCTTTGTGAGGCATGGTGGGAAATCGTGGTTCCCAGAGCTTGAACATGGTTTACCTTATATTAAGTTGTCAAGTTTGACTTGAGACTTAATGGTACAGATGAGATAAGTATGCAATGATATTTGATATCATAGTCTCATAAAGGATCTAAGAGTCATATTGGATATGATCGACATTAGATGTCTACCTAAATAGTATAAGGATAGGTGTAACAATCTATTCTTGTGTGAAATACGGATCTTAGTCCCATATAGAAAAATTATTGTAGGGTTAGTTTTCTTTATGGGAATATAGCTTGTGTTTGCATCTATGTTGACATTGATTGATGATGGACTAGCTGGTAGTAGATCATTGATAGAATCTGCATTTTTGTTTTGTTCGTTCTGTTTTGTCTTTTTTGTAGGATATGGCGTCAACCGGTAGTGTACCGAGTTTGACAATGCGATCTATCCTTGAGAATGATAAGTTGACCGGGATGAACTTCTTGGACCGGTATCATAACTTGAGAATAGTTCTCAAGCACGACAAGAAGTCATACGTCCTAGAAGGGGCTCTACCACCAGAGCCTGCGGCTAATGCCACGAGAGCTGTCAGAGATGCTTGGTTGAAGCATCAGACTGACGACAATGAGATCTCCTGTCTCATGTTGGGAAGCATGTCCCCGAATCTGCAGAGGCAGTTTGCGGGGAAGAGTGGTTTGATATGATCAATCGCAGAGGCAGTTTGAGGGGAAGAGTGGTTTGATATGATCAATCAGCTCAATATGGTCCCGCGTTTTGGAACGTTCGGTTCCTGTTCTCTTGAGGAGCATTTTGGTAATTGTTGCTCTTATAAGAGAAGTTAGGATGGTTCCTCCAGCCAAGGTTGTAGGTGTTGGAATAGGAATTGCTGGCAACATAGTTAACATCCTCAACCCCTTATTCTTGTGAGAACATGGACTGATCTCCACTGAACTGGTCTGATGTTTCGCCTAAAGCGCTACGGTTCGACGAATAGACATGCATCTTCAGTTCAGCTAATTCGGCCTTGAGAGCCTGTACTTCACTAACATTCTCTATATTACCCCTTTTTCGTGAAAACTCAGTTGGGGTAGTCCTATCGCTAGCCATACGTTCGATTAATTCTTTCAGCTCATCAAAGGTTAGCTTTTGAAGGCTACCTCCGCTGGCGCAGCTAATGTAGAACCTTATCTCATCCCTCAATCCATTCAATAAAGTTGACAGAATGTAGTATCTATCGAATTTATGGTGAGGGCATGCTCTTTGGTATTCCTTGAATCGTTCTCATGCTTCACCCAAGGATTCTCCATATTCTTGTGAGAAGGAATTAATCTTGTTCTTCACAAGCCGGGTCTTATGAGCAGGAAAAAATCTGTTCATGAATTTGTCAGCAAATTGATCCCAAGTATGGATCGAGTCTGTTGGCAGAGCATAGAGCCATTCGAGTGCTTTTCCCGATAAGGAGAAAGGGAAAGCAAGAAGTAATACTTCTTCAGTTGTAACTTCGTTCGCTACTCTGACAGATTGACAGAGAGATTTAAATTGAGTCAGATGCAAGTTGGGGTCTTCAGTAGAGTTACCTCTAAAAGCACTCCCGTATAACATCTGGATAAAAGCGGGTTGTAGGTCGAGGCGGGTTTCACCTGTTTTCTGGTCTACGAATGCAAGAAAGTAGTGGAGTATGCTTTGGAGGAGTGTAATCTCCAAAAGCAAGCGCTTCATTTCGCTCGACTACACTTGGTGGAGCATCGTTATGCGCGGGATGGTCGTCAACATTTCTGTTGTCTTCCATTGCTTCCAATCTCCTTTGTTGCCTCAGGAATTGAAGAGTTCTTTTGATTTCTGGATCAGGAGAAAGCAGAGTTTGACTTATACGGCTCTTGGTCATAAACCGAATGAATTAAAGTTTCGAAAAGTTTATATTTTATTGGCATATTTTAACAATTTATATATTTTTATATCAAATTAAAAGTTTGTGTATCTTATTGGCACATTTTAAAAAGTTGATGGTTTTTTTGGAATTTGTCCACAATAAAATGGTAAATAGTAAATAGTGAAAGTGATTGTTTAATAATTGTTGTTCAAATTACACAAAATAAAAAACAGGAAAATAAAAGAACAAATTCTTTTACCCTAACGGTCGTGGCAGCTTCGACCAAAGGACCCAACCAAAAACTCCACTGACCCGGCGCTTTTAAAAATTAAAATTTTAAAAATGTTTTGTAAATTTGATATATTCATAAATTATTTTCTAAAAATATATAAATTAATATATCCAAGTACTCATGTTCGAGTTCAAGAATCAATATCTCAGTAAAGAAACCGATATGTCGATACAATTGAATGCTCTCAGAACCGCAGGCATAACCGGAATCAGATTAGCTAAACGGAAGACAACCAGAATCAGAACACCACACCGAACTGCAACCGCTATTACGCAAATTCCTTTATATGAACCCTGAAAGGAAGAATTCATGTTTCTTCTTTTCCATGTTCCCCCAGAAGACAAAATGCTCAAAGAACTCATTTACAAGGCACCTGAGAGTTTTTGAGCTCATGTTTTGGCCATTGATCGAAATCGGAGTATACTCTGTCTCTGTCTCTGTTTGGTTTCAGAGGGTGATGTTTGTTTTTTTTTGTTTGTTCAGGATATTTCATTCATATCCAAGTTAGCGCCTCACCTATTTCTCGAGCTCGATGTTCTTATGGTCACACCATGCAAGAATTTGGCGTATCCGAGGAAACTCAGCTTTCCGTCTGAATTCCGAATCCAATCTCTTAGCAGTGGATATGCATTTGGTCCGAGATTCATTTCCTGCGTTACCAAAAAACACATCAGTCTCTAGACTATATAGCACGTTACCAGATGTCATTCGCGGTTTACAAGCTATTGCATATTGTATATGCTCGGGATTTATCGATTCTGAAAGGTTTTTACGCTCCCACGAGATAAGTTTATCTCAGATATTAATTATTGATGCAAGATTTTGAGATATGAGAGAAGATTACCCCAGCAAGTTCTTGGACAGAGATGACTCGATTTCCCTCACGTTCAAAGTGTTCAAATGCTACGGTTGCGATCTGTTCCCATTCTTCAAGAGCCTCGAGTTGGTAAATGCTGATCGCAGCCGCACAGAACTCCTCAAAATCCATCTTCTTATGTGCCAGCGGTTGCATCTTCGCAGCAAAAAGGAAAGAATTACATCAAGAACAAGATAAGACTGAGATAGTTCAATCCAGAACAAAAAAAAATATCGGTATTCAATGCATTGAGATTTTACGTGTCACTATGACATGACAACAACTTCATCGGTGCAGATATCAGGACAAAAGTTCGGTATACAGTATGATAAACCAAATAATGTTAAAGAAACTTTGTTCCTCACTTTCCCATGTTTACCCATTTCTAGGAGATTATTTATCCTCCATACCTACCGCGACTAATTCAAAGGACTAGCATCCCGGCCAATGAAACTGGAACAGCATTTGAGGGCAACTTCACCATATCACTACTGGCTAAAACCGCGATTGGTGAATACGGAAAAAATAAGTTATATTTTCATCATCCGTCCATCCACCAATAAATGTAAACACAAAACCCAGCTCACAGTCAATGCATTTGCAACGGTTATATTTAGCAAGTACATGCATTCTGGCATATAAATTTGCAAGTGAGGAGAGTTATTGCGGATGATGTCTTACCATGTTTAAAATCTCGGGAATTCTTGATTCCGTCATAGCATCAGTAGCATATCTTGCTAAAGCCTGCACTAGTTGGCAAGAGTTTAGACTTTGCATTTCAGAAACTAAGGTTTTGAAATTGACCAGGAATGAGTAAAACAGCTGCATTTATGAATCAGGGAACAACACAACAAACGCTCTAGCCAGATCAAGAAAAACAAGTTTAAATGATACCACTAACCGTGCTGAAATTGTGAAGAGATAGGCTCCCGTCTTTTGGGTCCAGGAGCATGAACTCTGCCTTGAGAAACACAAGTTCATCTTCTGGTAACGCTTTGGAGAGAGCCTGCGGTATAATGAACAAGCAAAAGAAAGATAACTATATGACACAATAACCTACCAACTATGAAAATATGAGCAAATAGAGAGTTGGGATCAAATGGAACTCTTCAAATCACAGCTTTGCATCCTTTTCATTGCGCAAAAGGCATAGTTAGTGAGGTGAAGAATTATTATGGACGTTTGAAGAGAAAAAGATATGAAAAGATGTGCGCCATCTACAAAATATGAGATGATCACGTATTCCACAGTGTAACCGAAATATGATAAAAAAGGGTTAAGGTTCCACAGAACTATGTAAATCACAGTTAACGTCATTTCCACTACATGAATTATATTTGGCTAGTATCATGAGTAGATTGTTTTTTGCCACATGTATTGTAAGTAGATACATTATGCTTTTTGGAAAGAAAAACGACAAATACGAGATGCATGTATATGACCAAACATGAGTTATAGGGCAGTAATCCACAGAGTCCTGAATATATGATCAAACAGAATTAGGGTTTCAAAAACACACGTCAAATCCCTTTTGCCGCATGAAAGTCTGAATAACCAATATCGGTAATTTGTTATCCAGAAACATAGAAGACAAGATAAGGATGTATGCCTTTGACAAATTATGAGAGAATCAAACAATTATCCACGAAGTCGAAATCATTTTGTCGCATTAAATTTCTCAAGTTGTACCAGAAGTTGATTCATTATTCTTGTTCTGAACATGGGATTAGATATTGACAAAAAAGAGAGTAACGACCAATTACCTTAAGTGCTGCTCGTCTAAAAGGCGAGGCGCGAATATATGACTTGACAGACTTGTAGATCGCGAAATCCAGCAGCAACCCTGGGTTTTCATCTCGTAACCATGGATGCGCTGCAATTGCATAAATGTTTAATGTTTTAGACCAACAAAGATCACATAACAAAGCTACTATGAGCAAGTGCAGAAACCCAAAGTAATTAATCATACTTAAGGCTTCATCTAATACATATTATGAGAGAACGAATACAAGCATGTGTTTGACCGATAACTTTCTGATTTTAAACAAACTTGGAAGAACTTACCTAGAGCTTGTGCTGCTGTCATTCTTTTCCTATGATCCTTGTTTAGAAGCCTTCTCACAAAGTCTTTGGCAATGGGCGATATGGAAGGCCATGGCAAATCCTCAAAATTAGGGTTTGCTCTAAGCACACATCGGAAAATCGCAGATTCAGTTCTTCCGTAGAAAGGCCTGCTTCCACACAATAATATGTAAGTTATGACACCGATGCTCCACATATCAGCTTCAGTACTGTAAGACCTGTGGAGTACTTCGGGTGCAACATAGTACGCACTTCCTACGACATCATTAAGACGCTGGTCTGAAAATGAAGAAAGTAACAAAAACATCGTCATAAATCAATACACAAACAGATAGGACAAATATAGAAATTAGAATTTACACAGAGAACTGTGGACAAATATAGAAAGATGAGACTTGCAAGACTAAATGATGAGGTCATCAATGTTCCGTGCTTGTATCACTAAGACAATAAAACAAGGTTTCTGTATATAATTCTCAAAAAGAAGAGAGAATGTTACACAAAAAGAAGCTGCATGCAAGATAAGAAGTGAACATTTCAAGTTACAGCTCTACTTATCAGCAGACTTACATGTCATATGCAGTCATTTATAAGAAAGAGGAAGCAAGGAACAAAAGAAAAATGTCATTACCAAATCTGACGAAATCAGACAAGCCAAAATCAATGACCTTCAGTATGGCATCCTCATTTCTGCTGGTAAAGAGAAAATTCTGGGTACACGAAAAGTATACAATTTGTTTAAGCAATAGCTAGAGAGGAGGAATATGTTATTTAAGAAGAATATGATATTCACAGCATATAAGTAGACTCTCTACCTCTGGCTTCAGATCACGATGTACAACACCTTGAAGATGGAAAAATGCAGTCGCAGATAAAATCTGTACAAGAATTCGCCTTGCATCAGGTTCAGGGTATCGACCACCTCTGCATTAAAGTATAAACAAATACAAACTCAGACTACAAATACAACGCAAAGCTAAAGTTACCTTACTGGGGTAAATTTTAAGCAGGAAAGGAAGGAACTAAAACACCAAAAAGAAAGAGTCTGGATTTACCTTGCCAAAATTCTGTCCAACAGCTCTCCACCTTCGCACAACCTGAAAGCAAATTAGTGGAAAATTGAATACCTAAAGTCAGCTCATTTTGTAAGCTGTCTTGCTGCACCAATGTTATAGAAGTTATAATTGCCATTATAGTACAATGAATGATTAGCCAACAAGCTGAGGGAAAAAGTAAACCACTAGAACAGAAAGGAAAGTTTATCGAACACATTGTGAAGAGCTCAGTTCTTATAACATGTTCCTAAACTGGGGGAATCTTCCCGAAACGAACAGGAGGAAGTAATAGAATGAACTACGCAAAGTCATACACTTACTATCCCCGGAAAACCGAACATAATTGTGTTGCAAAGAGCTACAAAATGGGACACACTTACTCCATTACAAAGAAGACGTTGTCGGCATCTTCAAATGCATCGTAGAATTTAAGCATATGCCTATGCCCGGATAATGCTTTCAACAAATTCACTTCTCGACGAGCATCTTCAATAGATAAAGCCGATGTCATCTGCAACACCAGAATCCCTCTGTACATCATCACATGCTTTGACACATAATATCAGAACAAATTATCTCAGAAGCTCGAGCTTGATCATTCCAGGTCAAAGAACTTTCACTCTGACACCATTCTAATGAAAAATCATCATCAACTGGTATATCTAGTAGCCAAATCAGCCCACCAAATTCTTTTCGAGTAAAAAGAACCCTATGTTCAACTGTTCAAGTCTTACTGATCATATTCTATTCTAAGTTCCCTAATGTTGGGATCACGTCGTGGCAACAAACATACCAAGAGAGGCATACCTTAGCTTTAGAGATGATTTTGACGGCCACAGTTTGCCCTTTCGTCTTCCCTTTCTTGGCCTTCGCCCAACAAGTATGACCAAAATGTCCTCGGCCCACCTCGTTCCCGAGCTCGTACTTAGCTTCGAAGTTCCTCGCGAACCCGAAATTCTTATCCAGCCTCTCCCCACCACCATCGCCACCGCCTCCGCCAACTACTCCGCCGTGGTCTCTGTCTTCACTGTCCTCCGGGATCGGACCTTCGCGAGGCTGCGTAGAGGCGCCTCTCCGCCTGCGCAGAGCCGCCATGATCGGCTTCGCAGGTGAAGGAGGAGGGAACGGCCATTTGAACTTCCTCCCCGGAGTTCTCGCGGGCGACGGAGGTACTCCGGCAGGCAACGGGCTCTGGAAAGGGGTAATGGCGTAGGAGTTGACTTCGGAGGAGCGAGGAGTAAGCGAAGACTGCGGTGTCGGAGGATTAAAGTGGTCGTCGGCCGGTTGCAACGGCCGATTCGGGAGGTCGCCGGCTCCGGCGGAGATCTCGTCATCTTCGATAGCAGAGATGTTTCGGCTGTAGCAATGGCCCATAACCGTCGGATGGAGGAGCTCGATTTGACTGAACGGAAAAAGTCAGAGAATCGGACGGTGAGGACCCGAAGTTGAAATAGTGCTTCTTTCGAAATCGAAAAAGAAAATATGTGCAACTACCAGCTGAGAAAAAAAAAACGAAGCCCAATGAAGAAAACTACTATTTTATATATACATATTAAAAAAAAAGAGGAGGCGTTGAAAATGTCTGTGATTTGCTAAAACGACAGGTGACGGAAACGTGACAGCAGTGTTGAGCCATTGAAATTAATGGCATTTAATGACTAAATTATATGTGATTAGAAATTATTTATCGCAAATATAATATTCTATATCTTTATATAATAAGAATAATAATAATTCTTTGATATCCATTATAATTTATTTTAGAATATTTAAAAAGTAAGTTTAATATGGAAAAAGTGATTTTACGAAACTCAAAGATATAGCATATATAATTGTCCCAATAATAATAATAAAAGACGAATCTAATAAAAAAATATTTAATTTTATCAAAACTTGCATAATAAAATATTCAGATTTTCAATTGATAGAATTAAATATAAACTTATCACAGACTTATATATTTAAACTTAATTTTCAAAAAAATTGCATAATAAATTCAAAATATTCATGTTTTATTATCAAATTCCAATCAGATAGTAAATTTTGTCTGCGTTAACAACTGCTGATATAGCGTTTGACTTAGCATGCCATGTTAAAACTTACCATGTCATATTTAAAAAACCTAAATATAAAATATATTAAAAATAATTATAATAAAAAATAATGAACATAATAAAAAAACAAAATTATATAGATACCTATATACATACATATACACATATAAATACATATATATATATACATAAATATATACATACAAATACATATACCATACAAATACATAATACATATATATCCACACACATACACATATCGTACATATATATTCATACACATATATATACAAATATATATATATATATCTGTATATATATGTGTGAACGTGTATATTTGTCAATGTAGATGTGTACGTATATATATATATATGTGTAAGATTTTATTTTTGTTATTTTTTATTATATTATTTTAATATATTTTTATTTTCTAACTTGACATGTCTCGTCCTTTGCCCCGTCAACTGCCATAACACAACATATGACATTTTTATGGTCCGTGTGGAATTTAGTAAAATTTGAATAATTCAGTTTTAATATGTTTGTAAAAATAATATTTTCATACACTAATTTATTAAGATGTGATGTTTTCGTATACCAATTTTGAATTTGACAAATATTTATATTGAATTTTAAATTTTGTCAAATGTCTATACGAATTTACAAAATCAATTAAAATTTTCATCATAAACGATGTTAGATTTAATCGTTAGATCTAATCGATTTCTGTTAACAAGACTGGTGTTATGTACTGACATATCATTATATTTTTCTACATCAACTACCACATGACCATTTAAAAAAACCTATAAATCTCCAAATTTATTTAGGAATCTAGAGTTTTAATTTTTATTTTTCAATTGCTCACTCCTCTTCCGACGACCTCACCATTATCTTCTTTGTCTGAGTCGTCTAGATTACCGGCGGTGGCGGCTTCTGCTTCAGTTGTCGCTGCCTTATGTTCAGTCGTCTTCGTCTTCGTCTTCGGCGCCGCGTGCATCTTTTGCTTCGAAGTTCATCTTGGTGTCGACTTTGTCTTCGCCAACTCCTTCTTGACTTCATCTTCGTAGCTCCTTGTCGAATTTCTTTGTAGTCACCATCATATGCGGCAGATCAATCAGTATCCATCACCTTTTGCTTACAGATCTGTCATTGAGAAAATGAGATAAACGAGTTCATTCGTCAGCTCCTTATTCAACGTTTCTATTTAACCTTTAGTTGATCAAGCTTATATGTTGTTACCCTGTTTCAACTGTACTCAGATCAATTTCTTTATGGGAGGGTGAATTGAAAAAGGTAAAATAACTGCAAAATATATAGGTGGGGTCTAAAAGAAAGAAGTTGTGGTAGATATGAATATGGTATATTGGTTTACAATGCATTTCAAGAGATTCTTAGGGATTTTCAGAACCTAATATACGTATTGATGAAGAGGATGATGATACTGATGAATATGTCGATAGTGATGATTATATCTCTGTAACTCCGTAGGATACTGATGAAGGGTGGGATGAGTTTGATCAACCAAAGAGAAAGATTCTTGTTTCGTTCTTTGACTTGTTAAGCTTTCCAGTCGAATCAAGTTCACCGAACTTGATTATGTGTGTTGCATGTATTTTTTTGGTAATAAGGATATTTATATAACATCCTAAGTCATGTTTTCATCTTTTCAAAAACATGTAATGTTGACATAAGTTATGGTTATTGATATGTGTGTACCGAGTTTAGAATTTATAACCCGATCCACAACTCACCGCAAGAATATGGATCGTCGTAATATGGGGTCGAACGCAAGGACCGGTTACTAAATCTAAATCCTAATCGAAACCAAATCAAGGCAAACAAGTGGATGTGGTGGAAATATGTGAAATCAATAGCAAATAAAATAAGAAAGCAAATAAAAACGAATGTAACTATCAAGCAACAATGACCATGGGTGTCGGGACCATATTCGCATGTATGTGTATTTACTAAGCATGCGAGAACTGTTGGTTTAGTGCTCTATGATGTACTGTTTATGAGCTTTCTTTAGATACATTCGATGTATTGATACTTTCTATGGTTTTATGAGAGTATTTGATTCATTACATGTTCTTGCATACTAGATCTGTTATGAAATCCATGTATCATTATGAATGATACTAAACTCCCTAGTCTTGTGTCATTATGGGAATGATGACATAATAAGACTAGTATGATGTGTGATTGATGATCATAGCGATGATCATAGGTATTGGATACGATCACAGTCATAGGTATTCATTGGAGAACAGAATACGGGATTGACCCGCACGAGATTGTCACATGGACTAGCGTCATGACTTGAATCTCATATGACGGTTCCATGATTGGATCCTAAAAGAGAGAGATATCGTTGGGCCCCTCATGTGAGCGAGACTGTAGAAATGTGTGGCCGCACTATAGACGAACGTCGTCTATTTCAGACAGTCGAACTCAGTGAACGAGAAAGCAGTCGAATCAGATAAGGTGGCTTGTCCATGCCTTATGTTCGACATATGATATCATGATACAAAAGGATCATCAACCGGAATCATCTCTGGCGTTCGTAAAGATCACGAACAAACTCTATTCGAGATAGGTAGTCATAGTGTCTTGCTAGAGACCGCCTATGAAAGGATGCTTCGTCATCTTGGCCATCAAACAAAACTCGCAAGACTCAAGAGACTCAAAGTCAAATGAGTCCAGACAAATTAAAAATGAAGCTTCTGAATGCGTTCTCGTTTATATGGCCTAGACGACAAATGCCAGAGGAGGGTCGGACTTAAGTCGTTCGGCTTAAACCGTTTGGTACTCACATTATAGATGAATGATGTCGAGTTCGAAGGCTAATCATTCAAGACATATAAAACATTTACCAGATAACCATTAGCATAGTACATACTGCCTCGATAAATCATCAAACTCGAGTTCGCAATCAGAAATCGAAAATCATCCAAATCCAGACATGAAATAGAAATGATGTTTCTGCTAATCGCAGGCACATAGAAAGAATTACTTAATTCTAAAACAAGTCCGGAAGGAAGATGCAAATCATTAACGCCAACACACAATGCATCAACTCTTGCTCCATTTCCGACGCGCAGTCCGCTTCTCCCTTTGCCAGCATCCTACTTCTTCTTAGTCCCTACACATTTTCACAAATGTGTGAGGTACTTCCGGTATCCAATACCCACGAAGATGTAGTACATATGTTAGCTTCTATAACACGAATACCTGAGGCAGAAGCTTCACGAAGCTTCTTATCCTTCAGATCCTCCAAGTAAATGTGACAATTACGCTTCCAGTGTCCAGACACTCCGAAGTAATGACAGTCACCCTTATCGGGCTAGGCTTAGGCGTAGAGGTAACTTTTGCCTTTTTCGCCCCCTTCTTTTTGGCTTTACCCCGCCGCTTCTTACTGGAGTTGTTCTCAACAGTAAGCACAATTTTCGGGACCACGATATCCTGCTCGGTCGATTTCAGCATCCCATGCAGTTCGACTAAGCTCTTAGTCATCCCGTGCATGTGGTACTGTATCGCGAACTGATTATAGTCCTCAGGCAATGACATCAGGATCACGTCCACGGCCAAGTCACCATCGAGCTTTACTCTCATACGCTCAAGTTCCTCAATATGAGCTCTCATGTTGAGGACGTGGGTGTTGACAGAGCTACTTCTCGGCATCTCCGTCTTCACCAGAGCTTTCAGCGTCTTGTACTTTTCAGTACGCGCTAGCTCCTCAAACATGGTCTTGAGCTGGTTGATCATATCAAACACGCTCTTCTGCCTATGCAGATTTGGGGCCATTCTTCCCAACATGAGACAGGAAATCTCGTTGTCGTCATTCTGATGCTTCAACCAAACATCCTTGACGACTCTCGTGGCATTGGCCGCAGGCTCTGGTGGTAGAGCCCTTTCCAGGACGTACGACTCCTTATCGTACTTGAGAACAATTCTCAAGTTACGATACCAGGCCAAGAAGTTCATCCCGGTCAACTTATCCTTCTCAAAGATAGATCGCATCGTCAAACTCGGTACACTACCGGTTGACGCCATGTTCTACAAAAAAAGACAAAACACAACAAACAAAAACAAAATACAGATTCTATCAATGATCTACTACCAGCTAGTCCATCATCAATCAATGACAACATAGATGCATATACAAGCTATACTCCCATAAAGAAAATTAACCCTATAATAATTTTCTATATGAGACTAAGATCCATATTACACATAAGAATGAGATGTTACACTCATCCTCATGCTATTTAGGTAGACATCTAATGTCAATCACATCCAATGTGACTCTTAGATCTTTTATGAGACTATGTTATCAAATATCATTGCATACTCGTCTCATCTGTACCGTTAGGTCTCAAGTCAAACTCGACAATTTAACCTAAGGTTAACCATATTCAAGCTGTGGAAACCACGATTTCCCACCAT